TATTTTTTTATTTATCTGAGAAAGGGATGTCAGGGAGGCACAAGGCAGAACTGCTGGCGGAGGAGCATTCCTGCTCGGCCCTGGTCCCCCCAATGGAGTCTGGAGCCATGGGGGGGGGGGGGACACGAGAAACCGCGTCCTTGGCACTTTGTGCATTTGTGCAAATTCAGAACTACCTCAGCGAGGCAGAAGAGGCAAACGCAGCCCTCACGGTGCAGGGGTGGGCGGAAAAGCAGGAAGATGAAGAGGTGGAAAGTTGCAAGGGGCCCGGCCTCCTCCTCCTCCTCCTCCTCCTCCTGTGCACTGGCGAGGCAAACAGCCGTGCCACCGAAGCACAACAATGGCTGCCCTTGGCCTGTGCACTGATCCTGAGCGAAGGGCCAGTAGTCATGAGGAAAAAAACCAAAGCCGAACCCGAAGGGAGATAATGCCGCCTAAGAGGAGACTTGTGCGGAAGGGCCCTCGCCATTTGATCCAGCGCAAGGCGCTAGGCGGGCAAATCGCTTCCCATCCAGCTGAAATGGGCCATTAGGTATCAAGGAAAATTGTCTTTCGCTCCTTTCAGCAGATGGAGCAAATATTTTACAAAGCCATTTTACATAGGAAAACCATTTGCGGGACTCGGTAATGGCAGCTGTTTTACATGATGTTACCTTCCAAAAGATGACATCTCACGGAAAGAAAGAGGGGGGAAAAAAAAGAAAAATAAAAGAAGGGGGGAAAAAAAAAACCGGACTTTTTGTTAATTTTCAAATTTTCAGCGGCCCACTCAAGCATGCAGCCTCCTAAAAGCCACATTTGAATTCTAAGTAAGTGCGGCTGGTGATGGATTGCTTCCCAAAACATATCCCGCATCTTTTTCTATGTTTCATTTTTTTTGCTCTTTGGTGTAGACTCCGGAGAGTAACCAAAAAACGTATAACGAAACAATCTCTGGAGTGCGTGTAAACCATTGCCCTGCGTTGGAGGGGAGGGAATTCCCACCCTTTGTGTGTTAAACTGCGCAGAGGACTGGAGCAGCTCCTCATCGGAGGGAAGGCAGCTCCGTTTCTTCCGTGGCTCCCGGAAAGAAATTTAAATCACAGCAATTGTCTAGAAACCGGACAGGGAGGAAACCCAGTTAAGAAACAGATCAGCATTGGTGCTGTGAATAGATGTGGGTACGTGCATACTTTTGTATTTATTTATTTTCTCATGTTTATGTAGTGGACATTGGAGGTGGGGACCCTTTGAGAGCTGCATGCAACGAAATTTCATTGTAATTAGTGTACATTTAAAGTGACAATAGAGTTATTCTAAGTCTGATGGACAAGCCTATTTGTGGATAACTAATGAGATTTAGGAGGTAGTCCTTGACTTACAACCACAATTGAGCCAACATTTCCATTGCTAAGCGAGACAGGTGTTATGCCCCAGTTTATGACCTTTCTGGGCCACGGTTGTTAAGTGAATCATTGCAGTTAGTAACATGGTTGTTAAGCAAGTCTGGTTTTCCCCATTGAGTGTAAGGCCCAGACTCGCTCCCCGATAAGAATGAACTTCTGAAAACTGGGTATTTCACAAGGAATTCTTTCTTGAAAAGGAAGATTCAGTACAAGACTTAAGATATTCAGGATACATTAAAAAGGATTATTTGTACCAATTCCCCCCCACCTCCTTCTTCCCATTGAAGAATGGCAGGTACACAACATCAACACTGCGACCGTCATAAATATGAACCAGTTGCTAAGCATCTGAATTTTGATCCTATGACTCTGGATCATAAATGACTTTTTTCGCTGCTGTTGTAACTTTGAGCAGTCACTAAATGAACTGCTGTAAGTCAAAAACTACCTGTAATAAAACTATACATGAACTGGGTTCAATTTATTACGACAGCCTCTCCTCCTCCTCCTCTTTTGCTTTTGTGAAATTATTTCTTGATGTCCTACTTTGATCTGCATCACTGGGGGTTTTTAAGAAGAGATTGGACGGCCATTTTTCCGGGCTGGTATATAGGATCTCCTATTTGAGCAGAGGGCTGGACTAGAAGACCTTCAAGGTCCCTTCCAACTCTATTATTCTGTTATAATCTGTATAATCCCCTAAAGTGGTTGAAAGCACCTGGGAAGGACATGGCTAGACCCAAACCCTCCCGTTCCCCAAAGCTCTGCTGTCTCCTTAACTACCTCCCTAAACAAATGAACCTCCTAATAAGTAAGACCATCTTCGCTTCTGCAAATTAATTGCAAACAAAAGGAAAGGAAAACCCTTTGAAGGCCATGATAGGAATGGACACATTACAAAGATTTGGTTGTTTTTGGGTTGTTGTTGTTTTGGATTAGAAAAAGGTATCTCAGCTATTAAACATCCTGGGATCTAACCCAGGAAGACTGGATAGAATGGCCTTTCCTAATTCGATGACAATAAGACCAAAGCAACTTAATGGTACGTATTGATTTGCAGGCAGGACATCTCACTAGCGTTAATCAATGAAAAGCACATTTTTGTGGACCCTGCAGTCTTCCCTTCCCTCCCTGCGCTCCATATGGGAAATCATTAATTCTCACTAGTTCCCAAATTAGTTATACATGAAAGAAACCACAAGTCATTCATTCTTCCAGTCTCTTGTCTATATGGTCCTTTTCAGGCGGTTCAGTGCAATTGCACGGCACTGCAATCTATAGCCCATTAAGGCATTCCTCCTCCGCGTAGCTCTGCACATTTTCTCTCTGCCAACTGTAGGAAAAAGTCACAAGCTAAAGAAGGTTCACCATTCATGGTTGCCACTCTTAATATCAAGTGACCTTGTCGGTCAAGCAGACTTCCCTTAGGCATGGCCTCTCACTTCTTAAAAAGCATAACATGACCAAAGGCTTTCTGAAAATCTAGGAATCCTGAACAACCAAATAATAATAAACTTCATGATGAAGAGGAGGAGGAGGAAGAATTGCAAAGGCCAGTTCATTAGCTGGTCATTGGTCTTCATTCTCACTGAGTTTTTCTCAAGAATCTAGGAAGTTGTAATATATTGGCGTATGGAAATGTTGTCAATCTACAGATTTTATAAGTGTAATTCAAGAGATTTTGATAGGACACCCTGTGTGTCAATAACCACTGGAATCACTGGATTATTATTACTAATAATAATATTGACATTGACAAAATCCCCATCAGTCAATTGCAAAAGGAAGATTGGCTGGGAGTAGCTGACTTCTTGCCGCAATACCTTTAAGACCATCAAATGCCCGTATCTACCTATCCCAAGTCCTTGGGAAGGATTCAATAGGTGGACAAAAATAGGTGGACAAACAACCGGCTGGCTGAGTGATGAACCATAATAATAGCATGCTGCCCAACTTCCAGCAAATTAGCTAATTCTTTTTAAAGACTAATAATAACCGCTGGAGATAGAGTGTCCCTTTGCAAAAACTGCTGGTCGAGGTTTGTTGAACCATATGTGGTATAATTCTTGCTTTCTGCTTGATTCAAGGTAGGCGTATAATCTCTGGCAATCAGCCTCTTGCACCTTTATTCAAACATTCAGAAAGATTCAGCTGCGTTCAGGGGCTTTCTATCTACGAGCAGTAGATGCCTTAACCGAGCCACATGCTAAAGGGGGAACACTTGGGGGTTTGAAATTCAGAATCTGTCTTTGGATAGATGTCCTTACCTGCCCTCTTCAGTGGACAAAGCACAAAAAAAAGACGAAAAGCGTTTAAAAATGGGCAGAGCCCCTCTTCAAGAAGGAGGACAAAAGGAGCGAGGGAGATCTTTCTCCCGTCCGTTGCAGTCAGGAGGAGCAAGAACGGAGTCCCACGATTGTGGTGCGAAGGGGCAATTAGTCCTCTTTGGAGCATGGGACGTTTCTAATTTCAAGGGGTCGTGAAGCAGAAGAAAAAGGCTCAAGGGGAAGAGGGAAGCGATGGTGAAGTCGTGAGAGAAGAGTGACCTGGAACGCGATGTGCAAAAGTTCCCAAGTTTGATGTGCTTGCTCAGCTTCCAGGCCGTGGGCCTGATCCAAACCATGAAGTTCAGACCTGGGCCTGGGTTGTTGCCTTTTGTGCATGTGCTCAAATCCGTGGTTCTTTTGGCTGAGAGTAATGGGGTATTTACATTTTTAAATTGTATAGAGATTATTGTATGGTCTGTTGTGTTTAATTTTATTTTTCTTTCAATGGTGTTGTCCAGTTTTACTTGTGGAAGAGCACCTCATTTCGTTGCACCCTCTTGCGAGTGTAATAACAAATAAATTCTTATGTCTTATGTCTTTTCGGGACTTGGGAAGCCTCCTACATGGCTTGCCTCTTGCCTCCGCATCCCTTTGCCTCCTGCACCCGACTGATCCCAGTTTCACTTACGTGGTCTTTTATTTAACTGAGGGAAGTTTTGAATAAAGGACCGACAACCAAAACCATATAAGTCAAAGGTGACTTGCGATGAGCTAGGATGAGAACCGGGGAGATGACATCAGAGCCAAACCAAGAGTTTGACATCAAAAGTAGGCTCCCCAACGCTAACGCTCTTCAGATACCTTGTCCTGGGGCGTCGGGGAGGGAGCGGGTGCCCGTGAAAACTCTTATGGAGGGCAGAATTGGGTGAGACTCCACAAATGTGAGTTCTACATGTGATTCCACAAGAGAGGGGAGGGAAAAGCTTTTGAGGAAAGAGATAATCCGTATCTTTTGAAGGGAAATGAATAAACCTTCCCATTAGGCAAAAATATGAATGGTTTTAATCTCTTAATTCCCCATTTGTATAGTTGTTAAATTTTTGAGTATGTATGTATGTATGTATGTATGTATGTAGTCTTTCTTTTTTAAGGAAGAGATTGGGGAGAGACCCCCAAAAGTTGCCAGATACATGAAAGAAGATAGGGGAAACATTTAAAAAAAGGCTTCCTGGCCGTGGTTAAACAGTAACCACACTGCCTGTTGGAGGCCTGGTTTTTAATCACCCCACAAGCCGTTTTCATTTCTGCAGTAAAATTGCTTGTGGTTCTATTTAATTTGTTTCTGCAGGAACCAGCTTTGGTGAAGCTCTCACAGGAGCTGCCGGGCCTTTTAGCACAGCACGCTCAGGCTGTCAATGAGAAACGATTTCCTACATGGGGGAAATTCCTCCAAACGTTTGTGAGTCAAGGTAAATAAGACTGCTACATTCCTGCTAAGTGCTATCAGGGATAATTATGTCGCCAGCACTTTGTTCTCATTCATTGGGATATTTCTCCACTTCCACCCTCTTCCCTTCCCCGTGTTAACGTTTCTTATCTTTTTAAGAATGAAATACAGGCAGCCATCTTCGACCAGGCCCATTTTGGACAGGATCATGCGCCCGCCGGGACAGAAAGAGGGACGCCTTTATTCACTTCAATGGTTTTGAGATTCCCACCTCCCTCCCTTCTCTAAAGTTACCCCCATAGGTAAATTTCTGTCCCACTTTGGGATGAGAAAACGGGCAACATAAAAACAGCCCAGAACTGTTCGGTGAGGCTGTCCCTGGGTTGTTGTGGGTATTTGTGGTCTTGGGTCTTCGTGGTGCTGTGAAAAAGCCCCAAGTGTGGGCCATGGACATCACAGCAGAGAGGAGCAATTGTGGAAATGGATGGAAGTTCCCTTCGTGTTTCATGTTTCTTTCTTCGCTCACAAACTTTGGCTAGTTGGAATTGGTGAGGAACTGGAGCGATAAAGACCACCGAATCCTCATCTCTCATCAATTCTGTTCATCTCCTTCTTCTCTGCTCTTTGCAAGAATGAGAAGCTCCATATATCAATAACCACATACATACATGCATACCTTTACATCCCAGGACGTCCCAGGTGGGTTTGTTCCAGCTCGTCTTTCTGATGTTCTTGACCTGGTGATTCTTCTTGTATAGAGAAAATTAGAACCCTCCAACATCAGGCATGTGACAGTAAATATGACTTTCAGATTGAGTCAGAAAATGGTTATAGTTCCTGACAACTCAGCAAGGAGAATTTTGCGCCTGCAGGACTTGGGTTTCCAACAGGGAGTGTCCTCCACCTACCTACCCCCATTGGATACGGTTTCCTCCCTTTTCCTCCCTTCCCCATCCTTCTGCTCTGAAAGAGGAAGAGAGAATATGGGCAGAGTGGTCAGTCCTTCAGGATACTTAGAGTAGGAAGTAAGACGCTCTTCCGTTTTTCCTACACCAAGACATGGATTGATTGATTTAAAAATTTAGATTTCTAAAGCCACCAACTCAGCCGTAGCATCAGGAGTGGTGGTGGGTTTCTCTTTATAATTGCTCAGCCTACCCCCAGTTCCCCTCCAAATATAACCACAGCCACCAAAGAAACTGCCCCGTATAAGCCCAGGCAAAGTCAGGATTGATTTTCCCATTTAAACAAGGCAGGAGCAACTTCTGCAATGAGTGATGGAACGAAACGTATTTCCTTTGGGAAACCCTGCTTGGGGTAAGGCCGTAACGATTGCTTCATAAAATCATCCTTTTGCAGAGGGGACATTGGTAGAGTCTGCAATGAGACGGCTTGACGTTGGCGCTCTTGTGTCTCCGCCCAGGTGGAGTCGTCGAAGCCTTCCCACCTTCCGATAGCATCACCAGCCTCACGGTGGACATGCTGATTGAACCCACCGGGGAGGTCACAATGGTTTCCTGCGGAGACCAGTTCCACGCCGAGGGTCCTTTGCAGTCTTCAGGAACCACCCTCCCTCAGGCTTCCGTTGAACCCAAGCGCCTCCATCAGCTGTGTCTTAAGATCGGGGAGGCCTGCAGAGCCAGGGCGGTGGTGGGATACTTTTCTGTCGACTTTGTGACTTTCATCCACCCGCAGACTTTGAGGCAGCAGGTGAGCCCTAAAGGTAGAGCTTCCGTTCCTTCGGCACTCTCTCCGGGAATCACCGCAGGACCCCTGGATTCCTGGGGTTGTGGGAGAAAGGGGGGGGGGGGGGGGGGGACGGGGGCAGCAAAGTGTTTTCTTTTATTAAGCCCTGCACCCCAATTAAACGCGGAATCCTCAGAAATATGCGCTGCGGAAAATCCGGAATAAATGCTGATCCCTTATAGAATTGGAATGGAATGGAATGGAATGGAATGGAATGGAATGGAATGGAATGGAATGGAGTAGAGTAGAGTAGAGTAGAGTAGAGTAGAGTAGAGTAGAGTAGAGTAGAGTAGAGTAGAGTAGAGTAGAATAGAATAGAATAGAATAGAATAGAATAGAATAGAATAGAATAGAATAAGAATGGAATAGAATAGAATAGAATAGAATAGAATAGAATATTGGAAGGAAGAGAATAGAATATTGGAAGGAATAGAATAAGAATAGAACAGAATAAGAATAGAATAGAATAAGAATGGAATGGAATGGAATAGAATAGAATATTGGAAGGAATAGAATGGAATGGAATAGAATAGAATAGAATATTGGGATGAAGAATAGAATAGAATAGAATAGAATAGAATAGAATAGAATAGAATAGAATAGAATAGAATAGAATAGAATAGAATATTGGAAGGAAGAGAATAGAATATTGGAAGAAATAGAATAAGAATAGAACAGAATAAGAATAGAATAGAACAGAATACAATGGAATGGAATAGAATAGAATAGAATAGAATAGAATAGAATAGAATAGAATAGAATAGAATAGAACAGAACAGAACAGAACAGAACAGAACAGAACAGAATTCTTTATTGGCCAAGTGTGGTTGGACACACAAGGAATTTGTCTTGGTGCAAATACTTTAGCCTTTAGGTTCGGGGGCTTTTTTTCTACTTTGTTTACATTTCTCCAGGGGTGGCTGCAGAATCTACCTCTGTCATTCAGCCATCCAGTTTTCTGTTCCTTGACCTCAAGGGGAAAGTATTAAACACCGCTGGGAAGGTTCCTGGTGAAATATTTGTGTTTTAAACCAGCAGAATAAATCAACCCAAGGGAACGGAAGGTGTCCAAGAAAAGACTTAGATATCCGGTTTTTCCGGGTGGTATAAGGTTATCTTACCTTGGGCAGGAGATTGGACTAGTCCAGGGTTCTCCAACCTTGGCAACCTTAAGCCTGGTGGACTTCAACTCCCAGAATTCCCCAGAATTCCCCAAAGCCTGGCTTTGCTGGCTGGGGAATTTGGGGAGTTTGCAGGGGTCCGGGAGAGCCCCTCCCCTAAGATTCTGTGCAGTTTGGAGAGCCGCCCCCAAATCCCCGCCCACCCCTCCCCTCCCAGCAGTCCCCACGCAGCCCATTTTCAATGCAGGTAAGTGCAGGGCGCATGCAGAGGCTTGGGGAGGTGTTTTATATGGGCACGGATGAGGAAGGAGAAGGACTCAGGGATGCGAGAAACTCTTTATTTACAAGCTGAATTCAAAAAGCCACCAACGTGGCCAGGGCCACCTTTTTATTACCGGCACTGTCCGACCCCTCAGCCACTGACAGGGACTCAATCTCCCCACCAGCGGCTGAACCATTAAGCGGAGTCTTACATCAGACTCCATTTTGCATATAACGTAGGCTCCTGTTAATGTGGCGTCATGCATATTTAACAGGAGGACTGAAAACGGGCCTCCCAGGAGTTTGGGAAGGCCAGAAATGGGCCCGTTTCCAGAGAGCCTCCGGAGCCCCGGGAGGGCAAAAACGCCCCCCTGCACCGTGGTGCAGGAGGCCAAATAGGCCACGCCCACCATGGCCACGCCCACCCAGCAGAGAACCTGTTGCTAAAAAATTTTAAAGGCCACCCCTGGGTCTTAAGTGACTCCTGTGCGTCTATCCAAATGATTACTTATGTTAGAGGTAAATGGGGAAATGAAAATATTTGGGAATAAAATGAAGCAAGGTTTGTTTTGTTTTGGGAGCAAAACTTTCCACTTTATTCTGGCTGTGTTACATTTAACTTTGTGCTGCCAAGGAGCCCAGCTAGGTAGCAGTTTGGTCTTTTTTCTATCTCCCCTGGTGTCATTTCCTCCCCCCCAAAAGGTTCTAGAGAAAAACTCTTCGCCCTTTTCCTTCAAGTTTCCTTCCATCCTTTCATCATCCACGTCAGCCCCGGTTACGTTTCCCCCCGGGGGGGCTCTACACCTTGCGGATTTCCTACATTCCCCAGTTTGTGCCACAACTTTAGCATTACTTAAGCCGAGTTTCCCCCCACCCACCCACCCCCAACTTAATTAGATATAGAGGCAATTAATGATGCCATCTGTCTTGTTGTGTGAGAGAGAGATTACACCAAAGATTGTGCTTCTGAAAGCATTATTTTTTTTGGCAAACTAGAAATCCTATTAGACTTGTTCAAACACTCTCACACTAATTTCCCATTTTAGATCAGTAGCTCAAAGGCTGAAATAAATTCTCCAGAACTATTGTACACTCAGGCATCCTCCAGGAATTGTCTTTTTACTGAAGATAACCAATGATCTATGTTATTTCTCTAAACCTAAAAATTAAATATATCATTGAACATCTGTTACCACTATAGTGGAAGAGTACTTAAATATCCCCAAATCCCAGAGATTGTGATACGATACGGGCCTTTTCAAAATCCCAGAAATTTCTGCACATGCAAAATGGGACAGGTTTTTGCCGGTAGCTAATAGACCTGAGATAACCCTTCAGTTTTAGGCGTAGATGAAATATGAAATTTGTTTAGGAGCCGCCATCATTTGGGATGCAGCTAGCGAAGCAATTCGGAGGTTACCTCAGAGTTTGAGGAAACTCCCTTTCCTGTCCCCCTCTACAAACCATTGATCAGACACATGGGATTAGGGTTATAGCAGGGGGACTCATGCTCGGTGACTCCTGCACACAGTCATGAGTCCTGTTTCCTTCACTTCACCTTTGCTCTTGGACTTTCAGCGGAATCATTAAAAAATAGTTTTGTCAATTGCTAGAACTGGGCCATACAGGAATAATTTCCTTTACCCTTTCAGCGAGTCTCCAGCAAGATCCTTGAGGTCCCTGTGACAGCACACTCTTCCGCACTCAGGAGCTGGTCATGGAAGAGCTAAATGATCAGAATAACATAGCTGGAAGGGACCTTGGAGGTCTTCTAGTCCAACCCCCTGCTTAGGCAGGAAACCCTGCACCATTTCAGACAAATGGTTACCCAATCTCTTCTTAAAAACTTCCAGTGTTGGAGCATTCACAACTTCTGGAGGAGGCAAATTGTTCCACTGGTTGATCGTTCTCACGGTCAAGAAATTTCTTAGTTCCAGGTTGCTTCTCTCCTTGATTAGTTTCCATCCGTTGCTTCTTGTCCTGCCTTCAGGGGCTTTGGGAAAATAGGTCGACCGCCCCCCCGCCCACTTCTTTGTGGCAGGCACTCAAATATTGGAAGTCTGTATCTTGTCCCCTCACCCCGTCTTCTTTTCATTAAAGTAGACATACCCCATTCCTGCAACTATTCTTCATGTGTTTTAGCCTCCACAATCTCTAATCCTCGTTGCTCTTCTCTGCAACAAATGGATCCCTGGGAAAAGAGATCTTGGGTTAGATGTTTCAGATTCTACAAGGAAGGTTTGTAGAGTTGTCTAATATCTTGAGTTAGTTCTGATTTGTACAGCATTTGTATGGTAGCCCTGGTTCTGAAAGAAAGAAGATGGAACAGAATGAAATGGACCAAAATTACAATTAGAAATAATATATCGATTGAGTATGTTTTCAATAATTGTTAACAACAACTCAACTCATATTCAGTAAGCCAATTTCGGTGGTATTTACTACAAATATGGCCTTGTTATCACATTGCTTTGAGTAAGGTGGCTGTTTCTGTCTCCATTCTTGTTGCAATACAATGCAAGCTAGTTTTGTCTCCAAGGGATCTTATAGATTTTATGAACTGACTTTCCTCTCAAGCAATAATAGAATTGATTGACAGTGAGGATCAAGACTTAAGTGATTAGGTTCCTAATTTGAAGAGCTGCTGGTTGACAATATAAAGAGAATCTGCATAGTTCAGAGCAGCAACAAGAAACCACAACCAAACTTCAGAACAATCAGAAGCAAGCAGCTTATCTAACAACGTTATTGTTACGGCTCACAACCAGAATCCACCTGGTATTGTGATTAAGGTGTTGGTCTATTCTATGACTTGAGGAGATTGCAATTGAAGCATTTTGAGCCACGGTGCCGCAGTGGTCAGAGTGCAGTACTGCAGGCTACTTCTGCTGACTGCCGCCTGTCTGCAATTTGGCAGTTCAAATCTCACCAGGCTCCAGGTTGACTCAGCCTTCCATCCTTCTGAGGTGGGTAAAAGGAGGAGCCAGATTGTTGGGGGCAAGAGGCCGACTCTGTAAACCGCTTAGAGAGGGCTGGAAAGCACTGGGAAGCGGTATATAAGTCTAAGAGCTATTACTATTGCTATTTCCTTCCTTCCTTCCTTCCTTCCTTCCTTCCTTCCTTCCTTCCTTCCTTCCTTCCTTCCTTCCTTCCTTCCTTCCTTCCTTCCCAGTGGTTAGAATGCAGAACAGCAGGCTAATTCTGTTAACAGCAGGCTAATTCAGCAGTTGAAACCTGACCAGCTCCAGGTTGACTCAGCCTTCCATCCTTCCGAGGTGGGTAAAAGGAGGACCCAGATTGTTGGGGGCAAGAGGCTGACTATGTAAACCGCTTAGAGAGGGCTGGAAAGCCCTGGAAAGCGGTATATAAGTCTAAGTGCTATTGCTATTTTTCAGCCATGGAAATTCCATGGGTGACGTTGGCCCAGATTTTTTTTTTCTCATCTCAGGATGCCTTAAGGATAAAAAATAAGGAATGATGTAAGTCACCTTGCAGTCGTGGAAGAAAGCTATACATCCAATTGCCTGATGCATTATGGGGAGGCAGAATATGAATTTTTCAGTTGTGACTACCAGGCAAAAC